GCATTTAAAAAAGGAACTACAAGTTCAGAGGACAAATCAATACCTCTGGAAAACTCCACAAGATGCCCCAAGTAACATACAACCTTGATGCAATCTGCGGTAAGGTGGCCGAAACCGGGGATCTCACCAGACCTTACCAATACACCGCGTCAAGTCAAAGCAAATAAACAAATTTAAGATTAAATTACAAAAAGAGTACGCCGACTTTTCATACCCTCCAACAAGGCTATGCAATATCTATATAGAACTTCAAACACCATAATAACAAGAGCAACAATAGACTTGATAATTGATTCATACACATGATATTGAAGGTTGGGACATATGAATGAAAAAAGATAAGGAATTTACATTCAAAAAGCTATTATCAAATAAAGTATTAGGATTCTGGTTTTGTGAAGACCGCAATAAAGAGAAAATTTAGTTTTACAAAATTGAAGGGAGACCAAAACTCAAAATTTAGATCTTATAAACATCAATGCGTGAGGGCTATCCCCAGAAGCATCCATATGGCTCATTTATTACGTCAACTTCATCGACAACTACACAAAAAATGCATAAATTTATATTCTAAAATAAGTCTAATGTGTTTACTTCTAAAAAGTGAAGAAGACCAATAAAGATGAATTTTGTGTAAAAATAAAAAACTAAGATCACTTCAATGGAAAAGACAATGATAGTGAGTTCATAAAATTGTGTGAATAGTAGATTCCGTGTAGAGGTAAATTACAATAATGTCACTACAAAATGGGAATATCTATCGTAGGGACATAACTTTTAATGAAGAGCTATACACATGAAGTTATAAACTTTTTTGGGCTGATTCTATATGCAAATAATCCTCAATTCCATTGTCCTATAAACTGCCAAAAGAAATTTGGATTAATATAAAAGTTTTTAAATCTATTTCTTATGTGTATATGGATTGTATTGGTAGATATAAGCTAGACCCCAAATCTGTTAAAGATACAGATACCTCACTTGATACAAAAATAACGATTTGCCTAAACTTTTTATATTCTATTAGTTTGGAATGAACCCCACTATGCTATTTGTTATAGTTGATACCTCCATATTTGCTAGCTGTTTTTAGTGTTAGTGGTACTTTTACCCTTTTAACCCTTACCTAGGTTGGCTGAGTGCAAGAATTTTGCCATATAGATAGAGAAAATGTAAGAAGGAAGATAGTTATTTCACTAACATACAATTTCTACATAGTTGTTATTGTTTTATTGCCTGCTTGCTTCTTAATCATCCTTGCAGGTCAAGCACTACATCAGGTTTGGTATCAGAGCAAGGATGGCTGAGAGCAGTAGATTGGTTGCTCTTGGTGAAGATCTCCGCCTTGAAGCCCTGTGGGCAGAACATACCAAGTTGGTGTGGCAAACAAAGGAATTGTCGGGGGACTTCTTGCATTTCTTTTCCGAAATGCACCGAGTACGGAGAATGATCAATGCTAGCCTTGATAGACGCTTGGGAACTCGAACGCTATTACCTACGACCATACCCACGATCAGAAGAGGGCTATCGGTGGAATGGGAACATCAGCGAGATTCGTTGTTGATCGAGGCATCTGATTCGGAAGATGAGTTAGGCCGGTTACGGCCGCACGAAGTTTCGGATGCTGATGAGGATCCAGTTTATCAGCGAAGAAGGAGACTAGTTAAGAAAGATCAGTGCCACAGTGAGTTTCTAGTGAAACTTGACATTCCATTTTTTATGGGAAACTGTACATTGAAGATTATTTGGATTGGGAAATATCTATCAAGACTTTTTCTGAATATATGAAAATCAAGCCCGAGAAAGAGGTGAAATACATTGCATGTAGGCCCAAAGTAGGACCCAATGCTTGGTGGTTTAAGTCTAGAATTCATGAAGGCAAGAGACAAGCGCACAGTTGGTATATAATGAAATAACTTTTTCGTGATCATTTTTTGCCAACAAATTATGAGCAGATGCTCTACTTGCAATATCAGCACTGTGTCCAAGAGGTTAAAACCGTGAACAAGTATACGTAATAATTTGATCACTTAAGTCTTAGAAACAATTTAAATGAATCTTCCAATCAGTTAGTAGCAAGATATATTGGTGGGCTACGAGAAGCAATTCAGGACAAACTTGAATTGAATGTTGTCTAGTCACTTTCGCAAGCAGTTAACTACGCACTCAAAGCTGAAATACAGCTAGCTTGACATTCACGCAGCAACCAGAGCAGACGAAGCCAAGACCACTCCAGAGAATTTAATAGATCATCTGTTCCCATTGCATTCAATGCCTCGAAGGCTTTTTCCACCACACATACACCTGCTGCGTCAAATAGTTTGGTTAACCGACAACAGATACAAAGGGTAACCCAAAGCTGAAGGCCTTGGTAAGGGAGAATGCATATGTTAAGCCTTTAAACATCAAATGCTTCAGGTGTTTTCAACAGGGGCATAAATCCAATTAATGTCATCCAGACCTCAATTGAGGTTATTAGACGCAAAAGATGAGGAAGAAGTGGATGCAACCGATCAGGTTCAGGAACTAGTGGCAAAAGACATTGTAGGAGATGAAAGGGAACTACTTATTTGTGTTTTAGAGAAATTATTGTTAGCACCTAGACAACAATCTAATTCACAAAGGAATGCTCTGTTTAAAACCAAGTGCACCACAAGTGGGAAGGTCTGTGATTTGTTTATTGATAGTGGGTGCATTGAGAATGTTGTATCTCGCTCAGTGGTGCAGGCATTGCAGTTGAAGACTAAAAAGAATCCAAATCCCTATAAGATAAGTTGGGTGAAGAAAGACATGGAGATTGCAGTAATGGATATGTGTAGAATTACGTTTTCGATTAGAAAGCATTATGTTAGTGAGGTCTTGTGGATGTTATCGAGGGCGTGTGCTACCTCATTCTAAAAAGGTCATGGCAGTTCGATGTCGAAGCTACATATGATTGCCGAGTAAATACTTATTCCTTTGATTGGAAGGATCAAAAGTTGAGATTATTGCCTTGTGGTAGTTTAGATCAGGCTGGAGTCAAGGCAAAATCTGTTATGATCTCGATGACGGGAGTTGCTTTGTTAAACGCCTAGCATGAGTCATCACAAATGTGTAGAATTATTTGTGTGATGTTGTATCTCGCTCAGTGGGTGCATTGAGAATGTTGTATCTCGCTCAGTGGGTGCATTGAGAACGTTGTATCTCGCTCAATGGTGCAGGCATTGCAGTTGAAGACTAAAAAGAATCAAAATCCCTATAAGATAAGTTGGGTGAAGAAAGACATGGAGATTGCAGTAATGGATATGTGTAGAATTACGTTTTCGATTAGAAAGCATTATGTTAGTGAGGTCTTCTGTGATGTTATCGAGGGCGTGTGCTACCTCATTCTAAAAAGGTCGTGGCAGTTCGATGTCGGAGCTACATATGATTGCCGAGTAAATACTTATTCCTTTGATTGGAAGGATCAAAAGTTGAGATTATTGCCCTGTGGTAGTCCAAATTAGGCTGGAGTCAAGGCAAAATATGTTATGAGGAGTTGCTTTGTTAAACGCCTAGCATGAGTCATCACAAATTTTGGCTTTACAAGTGAAGGATACCAATGCGTCTACAACCGTGGAGGCTATTCCCACTGAAGTTTCTTTGTTGTTGCTGTAAGGGTTGGATAACTTACCCGCGAGTCTACCACCATTGAGATCAATTCAACATCATATTGAGTTGATGTCAGGTGCATCCTTAGTCAAATATCTTGCGAGCCATGTTACCATAGCTTTTGTACCTTGAAATTATGTTAGTTTGGGTTGAACACTACTATGCTATTGGTTATAGTTGATACCTCCCTATTTGCTAGCTGTTATAAGTACTAGTGGTACTTTTACCCTTTTAACCCTTACCTAGGTTGTTGTGTGCAAGAATGCTACCATATATATATATAAACTATATGAAGGAAGATAATTTTTTCACTAACATTCACAATTTCTACACAGTTGTTATTGTTTTATTGTCTACTTGCTTCTTCATCATCCTTGCAGGTCAAGCCCTACATCACTATTGGTTTAGATGTGATGACTAGACCAAAAAAAACTCCTACATGTGGGCAATTCATGGTTTTGGGAACTCTGTTTATTATTAGCTTGTGAAATAGTTCGTTGTTAAGGAAATTCACCAAGTTTTACAAATTTTAAAAAAAAGGGCGAGGAGAAGAGAAAAAAGAGAGGAAAAGAATGAGAAAAGAAAATTAAGTACTCACTCGGTTCTCTCATTTCTTTCCTTAGTTAACCATTTTGATGTGATGCAAGCATCTTGGTGTTGTAGAAAAGCAAGTGTGGCAGCATCTGAGGAAAATTTTGTGGTGCAGAAAAATCTAGTGGTCTAAGCAGGTAATGTTACTGGAGGTGCTCTAATATCTTCAGTCTCAAACCTATTATTTTGCTTGATTGATTTATTTTTTTAAATAAGAGTGAAATAATTTTTAACGGATGATTTTCTTTTCTTCCTCGCTTGTCCACTTTCTTTCCTACTTTTCCCAACATTCTTTCTCTTCAACAAACCCTCCCTCCTCTCTCTCGTTTTTCTAACTGCTCAAGGGCTACTGATTTTTTCACCGTTCAAGGATCATGAGCAGAGCCGTTTAATTTTGGATTTTCATGATATAAAAACAGTCAAATTTTATTATTTATCCACGACAGGCAAACTACACGCTATAACTTCATCATTACATCTGCATAGTGCTGCAGTATACCAAGATGGTCTCTCATGATAAAATTATTATCCTGCTATCTATTTATCCAACACTCCGAAATATTGTATGATTTCCTAAAATTTGATGTTTTTCCCATCTAAAGATGAAGATTGGAATGAATGCTTCCCTATTTTATCCAGCAAATCCTTAAACTAAACAATAAAAGCCTCCCAAAACTACCAGTTATTTTACAAACAATAAGTATAAATACAATGTGCAGCTAATAAAAACACAAATTTTATTCACAAGATGCGTAAGGTCAAACAGTACTGATTCATACCTCTGTTATTGACCAGCTAATAACCAACGAACTAACAAGAACATGCGACCTGGCCTGCAAGTAACACAGTAATTACGTAAAAAACTTCTTTTGTAGCATTTAAAAAAGGAACTACAAGTTCAGAGGACAAATCAATACCTCTGGAAAACTCCACAAGATGCCCCAAGTAACATACAACCTTGATGCAATCTGCGGTAAGGTGGCCGAAACCGGGGATCTCACCAGACCTTACCAATACACCGCGTCAAGTCAAAGCAAATAAACAAATTTAAGATTAAATTACAAAAAGAGTACGCCGATTTTTCATCCTCACCAACAAGGCTATGCAATATCTGAAAAAAAAAATAAAGAGAAATTTAAAAATCAGAAAGTTTGCGAAGAAATAAAAATATGAATCTGAAGAGGGAGGTCTAGCGTACCTCTAAAATGGCGGCGGTCTGCGCGAGCTGAAGAGGCCGCTCGACCGCATCATACACCTGCTCGTGCCCGTATTCCTTGAGAGTCTTGATAGCTAGGTACAAAACCTGGAACCTGCGAGAAGAATGAAGCGGGTCGAAAGAGATCTAGGGTTCGGAAAGAAGAAAAGGGGAGACTACCATCCGTAAAAGACCGCCCAGTTATAGACTGAGAGGTACAGGCTGCGAATGCCGGAGAGAAAGCCCGCCATCGAAGCGATAAGAAGGCTGTGGAGTAGAGGCGGAGAGGAGAAGACGCGAGGTCGTGATTTGCGAGTGCTTTGGTCAGTTGAAGTTTTATAAAGCGGCAGTTGCATTCGCCATGGGGGCGAAGAGAAGAGTTAATGAGGACGCGGGGGCGGATGACCTACCATCAACCAAAGCTTTTAATTGCTCTGGTTTTTGGCGAGCAAAACCAACCTACCTCGCATGGTTTTTGTGTTAAAAAATTCATGGGTTAGATTTATACGAAAATTTTGTACATGCAAGCACCACCAAGTTCCGAGCAACAGGAAACATAAGATGTATGTTTTATATAAAAATTTCAACAAGACAAAAATAGTATGTGCTAATTTAGTTAAAATATTTTTATTAGTGTGAATTATATATTACAAATGATATACTTTCTAGTACTAGAAATACTATGAATATGATGTAACTGATAGAATTGTTCAGCAAAGATCGGGGCGTTGGTAGTTGATATGTATCAAATGATGATTCGTGGAAAACATCAAAAGTCGAGTAGCGATGAGATCTAGACTTAGTCATTCTTCCGGTTGGATGGGAGATTAGAAAGAAGAACCATCATTCATTAATGGTTAATAGGTGTTTGCGGTAGTAGGTGTTGAACAATGATAAAGAGGGGAATATTAAAAATCAGGCAATGATTAGTGATTGTTTCATTCGTTCTCCAATAAGAGATAAGACCATGTGATCAATATGATGAATAGCATATGTTGATAGTTAAGGAACATAGATTATTGTTCATTGGCAATCAATGAATGATATTTAACGAAGAATTTCTAAATTTGTATGATAACGAGGGATTAGCTTGATTGTTCTCATAATAAAAGAGGAAAATTAAGTGATGAAGAAAACTAGCATCAAAAGTAAATAAATGAGAAGGATCAACACTAACTTAGCACATGGTATAGGATCCCTTGAATGATAATGAATAGGTAAGATTTCGCTTGTTGTCCTTTTTTATTACATTTTTTTTTAGTTTAACCTAATGATGTTGTAGTTATAAATAATATGATATGATGATATGGCTTATAATCATAAATTTTTAGAGTAGGTAGTGTTATTTCATAAAGAATTAGAAAGTAAAGAAGAATAACTATTAGGCCTTCTTATTTGATTATAGGAATTCTATATTAGAGGAATTGAGAGGATAAAATGATGACATTTTATTATAAAAAAACAAAACAAAAATGATGACATTTTATTATCATAATTATCGTGTTCTAGAACATTCACGGCAATAGAGAGATAAAAAGTTTAGTGTCCTAATTTTATGCGAATATCCGACTCACACATATAAGAGAAAGGGGAGCAAGAGTCATAAAGAGAAATAAATATTTTTATGTAAAAAACTCTAAAAAGGGAAAAATCATGAGATCTAACCTAGTTAAAATGATTCAACTAGTGTTTATAGTTGATTACAAATGATGTCCTTTCTCGGGGAAAGACCTTGGCTCAATATAGAAATATACATCATATAAAGCATACTATATGGTGGGAGTAAGAAGAATCTAATGATATGAGAGTCATTCTTAAGAAAACGTTGGCATATTCATTTGGTCAGTATGATCATATTCAAGCGAAGGAGGTCGAAGGGGCCGTAGTCGGTGGGTGGTGGTGGTTGGAGGGATCTTAGTCTGCTGGCAATAGTGGTCGGAGGTAGACTAGGTGATGGAAGTTCGATGGTGATGATCGGGCGAAGGTTAAGCAACGGTGCTTGGGCGACGAGGGTTCACCAGCAGTGGTGTTGTGACAATTGTAGGTTTAGCATCTAGATTGATTTGTTCTAACCCGATTAAAAAAGTTGTAAGAAAAATATTTGGGGATGAAGAAGAAGATGTTTATAGCCGTTTTGGGTCATTTTCAACCGTCGGCCAAGTTCAGAAAGTTGTCAGAATCGAAGCGGGTCACATTACAACTATCTCAATTTTTTTAAATATAAAGTTTTTAACTAATTTTCTGATCAAATTTCTATTTTCGTTAGTGAAAAATACTTATAACTTTACACTAATAAAACTTTCACCGAGTAACTTTGTATATGTTATAGATTATGATTACGCACATTTGAAACATTTTCAATAAATTTTACAATGATTGTTGAAATTTATGAGATTTTTATGGAATAGAAAATGATATAGACTCTGAAAAATATTATTGTATTATATTAAAAGTCTTAAAATATTATCTTACACAATTCCTAATAATTTTGTTTATTTTTTGAAAATGTGCATTTTTTTAGTGAGATTTTTTGTTGCCTATCATTATAGAAAGCTGCCTAAATCTTACAATTGTTAGAAGTTCATTATGTGTTCCACGTGTCACTTCTGAGAAAATGAATATCTGATTCTGAAAATAGGATATTTACCAAAGAAATCAAGGTTCGTCCGATTCTGAGCTACAGGGAAGAACTATAAATAATTCTAGCCTATAATGTCCAAAAGCTAAGGAGTAAACAAATTTCTATGCTCAAGGTTTAGTGGAAGAACAAGGTTAAAAGAGAAGCTACTTAGAAAAAATTCTAAGGTGCGATAATTATATTCTGATTTGTTTTTGTGATCTGAGATATGATTTTTGAAATATCGAGGATGACATTTTTCTGAAGAGGGGAGAGTTGTGACACCTTATAGGTTCAACATCTGGATTGATCTATTCTGATTTGATTGGAAAAAGTTGTAAGAAGAAGATTTGAAGAGGAAGAAGATGATTTTTTAGCTACTCGGGTCATTTTCAGCCGTTAGAATGTTGTCTAGATCGAGTAGATCACATTACACCTATATCAATTTTCAAAACTACAAAGTTTTTTTTTTCTAATTTTTCAATCAAATTTATGTTTTCATTAGCAAAAAATATGGATAACTTTGTACTAGTAAAACTTTTATCGCATAACTGTTTTTATATTATTGAGATTACAATTATGCACATTTTAAATATTTTCTAAAAAATTTTACAACCGTGGTTTTAAAATTTGTGGGGCTTTTATTGAACAGAAAAATATATAGTCTAAGAAAAATAGTGTTGTAGTACGATAAAATCCTAAAATATTATTTTATACAATCCCTGATAATTTAGTTATTTTCTAAAAATATATTTTTTTCTCTAGTTGGATTTTCTATTGCCTAATATTATAGAAAACTGTACAATTTGACAAATGCTCAATTAATTACTCTTTTACTGTTGTAATGTGATGATATATGTGCATATGTGATTAAATATTTATTGGGAGCATTAAGAAGTCAGAATTCTCTAAGATTTTGTTTGTGTTAGGGAACAATCGGGAGCTATAAGGGGCTAAAATCCTTTTAGATTATGTCTGAGACATGGATATGTGATATGTTCTGATGCTATAAATACAAAAGGGAGTTATAAGGAGTCAGAATACTTTGACATTTTATCTGGATTTAAGAAACGTGATTTGGAGTACTCTATGATATGCATTGCAATTTATTTATCTACTAAATATTGTTATTTAAATAATTGGATAATTATTATGCTCGTATTACATTTCAGTATAATAATTTATCAGACTACTTTTAATTATTTTTAAATATTAAATAAAATATTTAATAAAATAATTTAAAATTTTAGATCGAATTGTATGCCTTAATGAGTTGTTGTAACTCACTATTGTTTGCTTATGCTTTACAGGATTTAGGAAAGGAAAGGAGATTGTCGATTAATAGTTCAGGATTAGATATGAACTTATAGGTATTTCTTTATTTTGATTTTTGTACAGTCATGACTAATATATTATTCAGTTCAGTAGATTCTACATGTAGTCACGTATTGTAGTGTATATATTTTTTGATGAAATGAAAAAAAAAACCCGATGGATGAATTTATTTTCAGTATTTAGATACTTTAGTATTTTATAATTTGTAATTTATTTCAAATTAATATTGACAAAAAATCTAACAAAATTTTAAAACTAGATATTGGGATATGACTGTCACAACTCAATACAATAGGACCTATCCTAGTCGGTTTGGGTTGTGATAGGTGTCGGGGTGAAGCTCTGAGATTATTCAAGCCTTATAGCTCTCTTAAACTTTAGCCTAAGGTCAAAGCTTTCAAAGGTCCAAGCCCCCATTTCATGTGAGAATATGCGATCTATTTATAAATTTTGATAGTGACATGATTCGTAAATATGAAGAAGTTATGAGGCAAATTTCATAGTGTTTCATCGGTTGACTCATACTGATTTCATCGATCATTTATCAAATATTTAAGCATCTTAATAATATCATAATGAAGAAATATTAGGCTTGACTGGCTTGTTGGATTTGTCTCATCGAGCCGCTCAGTTTGACTATATAAGCATGCCATATTTGAATATCATTTGATTTTTCGGTTAATACTTTGGAGCTTCTAAATATGCTATAATCCCTTGATTGGAGTTCATTTGGGCTAGGATTAGATCGATTTTGATATCGTTAGGTTTTGTTTTGCCCAAACATTCAATTTTAAAAGTTTTCAATTAAGATATGACTTGCCATTCGTGTTAGATTAAGGCGATTTTTGATGACATACTAATAATAAACAAAATTTCAGGTTGGATGATAGAATGCATAACTTGAATGATGCATTTACTTCTTGATATTTAGTGAATAATGTTTCATTAAATCAGTAAATTAAAAAAATATATACTTCTGAAAATTTAAGTAAATTAAAATTAATTCAATTATACTTAATGGATAAAGTTTTCGTACAATATTAAAATTTATCTATTTATAAATCCAGCATTCTCATATTAATTATTATTTGACATTAAAATTTAAAAAAAATCTTAATTTTTTCTTTGTAGGAATCCCAACTATTTGATGCTTAATTTTTTTTTTTTTTTACAAATAAATAAAATCAAGATAAAAAAGGCCATAGTGATTTCGATTTTTAAGCTCACCACCGGCGAGTTTGTTGGCGCTGTCATGTCTGGAACTTAGCCCTATTCGCCGGAAAGATTTCAAATTTCTGAGCTGATGAGGAAGCCCCATCGCCCCGTCACTGGCAACGATCTCCTTCACCGGAACAAAGTCCTAGCTCTTCTCCTCGGTCTTCCTATCCTCGCATTTTTCCTACTTCTACCAGCCCTTCGTCGCGGCCATACTTCCCCTAACAGCTCTTCTGGTACCCTCCCTTTTTCCGCCGATCGTCAGCCTCCCAAGCTTGCATACTTGATCTCTGCTACCCGTGGCGAGGGGCGTCGTGTCAAGCGGCTTCTTAAATCGGTATACCACCCGTGGAACTATTACCTTCTGCACGTAGACCTTGCTGCATCGCCCGAGGAGCGGCAGGATCTGAAGGAGTACGTCGGATCTGAGCCGGTATTTGTTAAGTTCGGTAATGTGCAGGTGGTGGAGAACGCTGAAGTGGTAAGGTTCAAAGGGCCGACGATGATGTCCTCCACGCTTCACGCTGCAGCCATTTTGTTGAGAGAGGCTAAAGATTGGAGCTGGTTTATAAACCTTGATGCAGCTGATTATCCTCTCATATCCCAGGATGGTATGCTTCCGCTTCTGTGTTATGGAATTATAAAAAATGGTACTTGGATTTTTTTTTTCTCATTAAGTAAATAAGGATAGAATGAAATCATTGTTGTGGGCCTTGTGGAGGATAACATTGCTGTTTCTTGATTCCTAGCAACATGGAACTGGATTGAAATTTGAACGAAATTCAAAAGCTGTTTCCTTAAGTTGGAAATGAGCAGCATTGTACTGATCTTTATTTTGCTTTCACTACCTTTGGGAATCCACACTTTTTGTTGTGTCCTGCAAACTGACTTTACATGAGAGCTCTTTCCACCAGTGGGGCTTACTTGTCATTTATTTTCTTCATTACAACCTTTATTTGTCTGCTTGTTCAATCTAAGTAAAATATAGTTCTCTGAATTGTCAAAGCATGTTTCTTATTTTTGGTATCTTTTGCTGCTGAGATTCCTCAATTTTTGGGGCTGCTTGACTACAAATAGGCTTTTGTAAATCCTGTAACTCCAAATTTAGTAAAGCTTGATAGGATTAAAACATGGAAAATGTCTGTCATGAAAACTATTGAATTTTGTTAAATCTTAATAAGTTATTTGGCTTTTTGTTTATGGATTTAAGATTTACGAGGGCAGTAATCCTTACAATTGATTAACTTATGCGAATTGTGGGATTTAACAAATTCAGTATTTAATTTAAGAGATTTGAAATGTGATTTATGAAAATGATAGAATGTAAACTCAACACACTTTTATTTGGTAGGATTTAAGTTTAAATCTTGCTTAAATCCTCTAAATAAGATACCAAACAGCCCCTTCAACTTATCATGTGCACCATTAGCCTATAGCTCATGCAACCATGTTCGTCGCATCAAAATCATGCTGAAAGATCTTAACAAAATAAAATAAAATATGCAAATAATCACTTCCTTTCAACCTTACAACTTACAAGACACAACACCACTTTCAACTTGTAAAAAAAATCAATACAACTTACAACTTGTAATAAAAAACTGGACATAACACAACTTACGACGAATCAATGTTTTGAGAAGAAAGATACATGTGGAATGAGAATCGTGGATAGAAGAATAGATAGAATCCGAGATGAAATATAAGAAGGAAGGTAAAAGGGATTGCTCGCAAGATATGACAAACCCGTATGTTTCCCATTCCAAATATTCATCGCATATCACTCTCTCACAAAGGAAATTAGCCACTATTTATAGGAGAAAGAAGGGAAAAGGACATTTATTATCCCACATAAATGTGCCGCCAAAACAGATTATAAAACCCATCCAAATCAGCCTATACATGGAGAAGTCAGAGCGAACAACACATGGATCAGTAAGGGGAAGAAACTGAGCAACCAACAACAGGGAAACCGAGAAAACAACTGGGAAACTGTGCATCCAACAGTAGGGAAACCAAGAAAACAGCTGGGAAATCGAGCACCCACCATGGGAAGTCCAAACAACAGTAGGGGAAATGAGCGAACAGTAGAGAAACTGAGTAGAGAACAAAGAAACTGAGCGGGCAGCAGGAAAACAGTGAAAAACAGGGAAAACCCGAATGGCCAACAGGAAACTCAGGGGCTAACAGCAGGAAATGAACAACCACAGGAGAAAGAGAGCTAGAAACATAAGTGAAAAATAAAAAACAATATATAATAGCTAGCCTTGACTGCATCATTATGTCCTTTGTATTTCATTTTGTAAGCATGCTATAAACTAGAAGACCTTCTTGATCATATTGGGTTGGACTCATATCTTAAGTTCACCATCTAATTCATCTGTGAGCGCTAATTTTATTGTTTTCACAGTTTCCCTCTTTCTCTCTCACGCACACTCTCTCTCTTTTACAATATTTTCCCTTATTTCTTCTGTTGTCTTTATATTCTGACTCTACGCCTCTCTTGCTCAATATTGCTCACATGTACCATCATGTTAAAGAGATAAAAACACTAGGTTCAAATTTTATGGGCTTGTATCTTCTTATACAACATCAAAATGTTGGAACAAAGGTAACAATCTAGTGTTATACAAAATTGCTTGAACGAGTTAGTAGTAAATTCTCATATAGTTAGGGCCGATCTAAAAAGTTTTTTTTTTTTTGTTAAACTTGTGGTATTATTTTAATCCACAAAGTTTTCTTAATATATTCTCAAGTTAAACAATGAGAAATCAATTTAATAAATTTATAATTAATCACAATGAGATTAATGTCTGACATGAGTTACATATAATTTAGCAAAAATAATAATTTATAGTTACTCCAAGTATTAAGGAGGAAAGCTCAAGGTATCAATGTCAAAATTCCTCTAACAAACTTTCCAGCAAATATCTTCATTGTTGGATTAGTAGCAAGGTGTTTATTGCAACTTGCAAAGAAAAAAAAAAAAAAGAGAGAGAGAGGCGAGAATATTATAATCTCACCACTAGCTGACACAGCTTTAACATTGAGCTAGTGATGTGACTCATCTTATGATTTTTTAAAGCTTTGACCGCACACTCTCTCTTCCTTTATGCTCTAGCTCTTAAAATTTTATTTTTATGAAAACTTTGACCCTAAGTTGTAAATTCTGAACCAAGTCGTGAAAGGAGGGATGGTGTGGTGAGCCGGGTCATTTGATTGGGTAACTCAAGTGGTGCATGCTTGAGTCAACGGCAACATGTTCCCCTATGTTGGATCTACCCTTGCATGTAGTAATTGACAACAATGAATGGATAAGAATTCATTAAGCCAAGCAGCAAGTTATTAAGTGAAGGCTAATTACTTGGTAATGATTAATGTCTGGAATCTGTAATACCTAATTACCTACCCAAAATAGTTGGGAAATGTTAAAAATGAAGATGACGGTTATGTTGATAGGTGTAATTGCATTCTTGAAACCATGAAGCCATCAACAAAATTATCATTATATTTCTGTTGACTTTTTTCTTGATGAACAATTAAGAGATCAAATCCGAGCCCCTGTGGCTAGTTTTATGTCATCATTTACATATGTTAATTTTTTTTTGTTGGGAAGTAAACCACACACAATAAAACAAACAAGAATAGATAACAACGGAAATGAGCACTAGGATTTAACTTGGAAAAAATTCGAAATGAGGAAAAACCACGGAGCCACACCAACCTAAGAAAGTTAGTATGAAATTTGAGGAAATTGTACATATCTGATTTATCTCTCACTCTCTCCTTGTCTACTTCACTCATCGTTCTCATCTCAAAACACACAAAGAGATGCACATATACAACACCAAGGGATGTAACACTTCAAGTTAAGTATGAAAACAAGAAAGAAAACTACATAGCTCGACTCGTAGCACTGTGATTCCATGGTTTGGAGCGCCGCGACACTCCTCTCTTTGTGTCACCTGACTTCCAGCTCCATCGTGTTGGCTCTGGAGCCCCACAACACTCTGTTGTTTGTCTCCAAGTCAAGATTATTGCTCCATCGTGATGTATTCTACAACATCGCGACATTGTACGGGAAAAAAAAAACTTTTTTTTTCTATGGGAGCCCCCCTTGCAACCTCCCGACGAGCTCGACTGACAAAATTGAGATTTGAGCCAACAGCACAACCCAATTGATCGACACAATCAAATGCCATACATAACTAAAATTCTCTATCTTGTTTCTTTGGCGTTTAGCATGTGATTTTGTGTATATTTGCATGAATGTCTTTTGGAAAATACATCAATTATGTCCAGGCATCGAAAACTTTTTTTTTTTTTTTTTGAAAGAAACTATTACTTTTGTCTGTCCCAAATGGCGCTATTGGAATGCCAACTGGGTTTTTATGCTATTTGTGCTGGTGAAAAACAGAAGTTTATATCTCTATGGATATACTTTATGTCTATTTCTCCATTTTCATGTGGAGTGAGGAGTTGAGCATGTTATAGCATGGTGAGCTTTTAGATTTTGTATGACATAAAATGTGTAAATATGTAGTTATCAACGTTGGAATAAAAGGATAAATTAAGCATGTATAAATAAGGAGATTTGACAAATGTTTTGCCAGTCAATTTCATGTATCCCTCATTTGAGTCGCTAGAGAAGATTTTCATTTGGGTGTGTTTGAAGGCGAAATCTAAACGCAAAACTCCATCCTGCTATTTGGTAATAAAGGGACATCTCTGGCCATGCTAAGTGGCCGTAACATTGCTTACAACTTCTTTTTGTTAATTTGTTCTTATTACTGCAGTTTTTATGTTTTGAAGATGGTGTTGTAAATTTATATATATTTTTCCATGCTAACTGCAGATCTTATTCATATTCTATCATTCTTGCCGAGGGATCTAAACTTTGTCGAGCACACAAGTAATATTGGTTGGAAAGAGTAAGTGCCTTTTATTGTTGGTTACCTATCTTTGTAAATTTTGCAATTTGAGAAGCTAATTTATCTGCTTTTTTTTTTAAATTTTCCCAGCTTTTTAATGTTTTTAAAATCACATATGCAGGCATCAAAGGGCTAGGCCTATTATTGTTGATCCAGGGTTATATGGCTCTGATAAAACAGAAGTGTTTTGGGCCAAAGACAAAAGATCCTTGCCTTCGTCTTTCAAATTATTTGTAGGTACTGTACTATATTACAAGAAAGAAACCTAAGATATATTTTTTAACAAAATAAGATATTCTCTGAAGTCATCGTGGGGAATGACAATTAAAACAGGCATTTGAGCCACTCTTATTGTTGATTTTAGCATTCTTCTCATTCATATAAAACTCACATATAAAAGTTGTAGAACTGTGATGTTCTATTTTAATATTCTTTCATCTATTTGTCACTTTTTTTTCTTAACAACATATGAAATAAATGATTTAATGAATTCATATTTAATAAAAAAAATTAAATAAAAAATAAATTTATTGCATACAATTTATATTTTAAAATTCAGTCATATTAAACTTATGTGATGCTTTTGATATCAATTATTAAATTAGTTAATGAAAGAAAACAATAATTTTAAAAAGATTAATACAATACCCTTTTTAAATTCTAGTAACACTCGTATACAAGTAATTTGAATTTTTTTTATTCGATCACATATTGATGGGCCAATATTTTGTGGGCTTCATTTAGGAATTTTGTTTCTATATATGTATTACAAATGTCTTGAAAACCTATGGTTACAACTGTAAATATGTGATCGAATAAAAAATACAATTTATATTTTGTGGGCTTCATTTAGGAATATCGTTTTTACTTTATAGTTACATGCGGGAATCCTTATGGTTCAATGATTCAAAACTGTTATTTGAGACCTTTTTGCTTGTTTTTCTGTCAATAATGAATTGCTCAAATTATGCTTTATTAAAATTTGAATACAATAATGCATTGTTTCATTCTTTTATAGAGAAAATGTTAAATTGCAAGTTTCAAATTATGGTTTTAGGATAAAATTTCCAAATTTCATTGAAAACTTTTCAAGTGAGTACTGTTTTCTATGAAAAATGAAGGATATAGTACTGCTGACTGTCTTTAGATTTAATCATGTCATAACTTCATATGGCAAGATTTCAAGTACAATAGAATCTTTCTGGTTCATCAATTTTTCTGTCTTTCCTGACTGCAGGCTCCTCTTGTGTGATTTTAAGCTGGCCTTTTCTCGAATTCTGCATCTTGGGTTGGGATAACCTTCCTCGAACATTGTTGATGTACTATACAAATTTTCTAGCTTCCAGTGAAGGCTACTTCCACACTGTTATATGTAATTCAATGGACTTTCAGAATACCACCATAAACCATGATCTACGTTTTAAGATGTGGGATGACCAGCCCCGTCAAAGCCCCATGAACTTGACTTCAGAGCATTTTAGCCAGATGGTGGACAGTGGAGCTCCCTTTGCACGCACTTTTGTAGAAAATTCGCCGGTTCTAGATCAAATTGACCGCGAACTTCTGAAGAAGTCGAGGGGCGAATTCACTCCAGGTGGATGGTGCTTGGGAAGCTCAAAGCCTAGGATAGATACTTGTACTGTTTTTGGCAAGGCTAACATAATCAAACCAACTGCAGGTTCAAGGAGGCTGGAGGGGTTGCTTTTGAAGCTCTTGGACGAGGAGAACTTCAGACCCAGGCAATGTAAATAGTTAGAGGATTGATCTAGGAAAGTGTGATATATGTTAATACCAGAGCAAATTTATTCTTCAGACAGCTCTTTCTTCTTCTTTTTGTATCTATATCTGAGCAGAAACGAGAGGTTCATGTATACAACCGTTAATACAGTTAAGAAACTTCCAATCTTTGCTCACTGTATGAAACAACTTTCTTCATGTTTTATCACTGATGTTATTACCTATGTTAATATAACTATGAAATTAATGAGTTTTTTTTAATAAGATCATTTTAGATGGGCTTTTCAGTTCTTCTTATTCTGTGAGAACGATTTAGCATGTTCTTCCTAAATCCTGTGTTGTAATCAAAGTTTTTTGTGGATCACCCTCAAACTTTATTGAGAATACTGTGATAATTACGTACATAGTAAAATATAAATAGCGTTTATGCATTTGAGAGTAATGCTACACTATCCAATCCAGAGCCTGAAAGGTCTTGATGTATTGGCATACTTTGGTAGCATAAATGGATTGGTTATAGTGCAGTCGCATGAGGTATTAAGCTTTGTTTTTCTCCTTATCTTTCTATGGTTAATTTAGATTATGGTTTGGGCAACCGTCAATCTATTTGGCATGTTATTGTATCTAAATTCTTCCTGACTTAGCAATTCATCCCATAACTTTGGTGCTCCTGCGCTAAACTTCTTAACATATTGCCAAGAGTATGATTTACTATTTCGGTTTGACCATTAGATTGAGGATGATAAGCTGAAATTAAGTTGATTTCAATCTTCAACCTTTTTCATAGTTCTCACCAAAAATGATTAATAAACTTAACATCGTGATTTGAAGTAAAGACTGTGTGATATTCCATGTAGACGGACTATTTCATTGAAGAATAAATGTGCATGTTAAGTGCATCAAAATTTTTTTTGCATGCAATAAAATGTGTCATTTTTGAAAATTTATCTACCACAACTATAGTAAAATCATTTCCCCTTTTTGTTTGTGGTAAACCTTAAAAAAATCAAGATTAAGGTCCCCCTATATAGTATCCATAACAAGCAAAAGGTAAATACAAACCTGCATTTTGCTTGCCACCCTTTTATGTTTGGCAAACCGAACACCGCTCCACGAATTGAGACGTTACGATGTATGTGAGCAAAAAAAAAATGCAATTGTAGTCATTCCAAAAAAAAAAAAAGTCTTCTCACAACCTAATTTGAGCTACTAAACCTCTATTGTGTACTTCTCGGATGAGCTGTTGCTACCAGGATGAATCTGGAATGCAAAGTATAAGTTGCTTTCGAATAGAAAGCCGTGCCTAATGGAATAATTAGTAGCAAATTTATTTACAAGACATATGAGCCATGCCTATTTAAGGTCTTTATCAGATTCACATTAGTCTTTTAGATACTTTCCCCAAGGTTTCAGTTTGTAAATACATCACAGTCCTTATTTATGACTCAAAAAGCATCAGCAACATGATTTTTAGAACCAAATTTGTGTTTTAAGGCAAAAGAAAATATTTGTAGAAATAAAATCCAGTGGGCATGCATACGGTTGAGTGTTCTCTGGCTATTTATATGTTGCAGTGCCTTATGATCACTATGAAGGACAAAATCTTAATGTAATAAGTAGTGCTCTCATTGTTTAAGAGCACGAACAATAGTGTACAATGCCTACTCATATACACTCCATCTTTGTCGTGCTAGACATAATTTTTTACTAATATATTCAATTGGTTTATTGTCTTGCATTAAAACTACTCCTATCCCTCTAGCTGAAACATTAGTTTCAACCTTAAATGGTTTTTCAAAATCTTGAAGGGCAAGAATTGGAGTAGAAGATAAAGCTAATTTAATAGCTTCAAAACTTCGTTGTTGTGTTGGTGTCCACATGAATTGTTCCAATTTCAAACAATCAGTAATGGGTGCTATTAATATGCTAAATCCTCGTATGAAACAGTGTTAAAAATTTGCTAAACCGTGGAAGCTCCGTACATCAAAAAAAGATTGAGTGGGTCATTCTACAATTGCTTTAATCTTCTGAGGATTCACTCGAACCCCGTCTGTAGCAATAATGAAGTTTAGGAAATATACTGTTGTAGTTGCAAATTCGCATTTAGGCAAGTTCAAATACAATATATTTTGACGTAGCACTTCAAAGATTTATTTGTAAATGTTGTAAGTGTTTGACCATAGTCTCTATGTCGCTCCAATCTACCCGCATGTATGGTCGTTAGTGTAACCGTCCAATTAAGGCGATTTCTGCCTAATTCAATTATGATAGCATGGAACTCTCTCCACATTTCCACAGATAATCAGAAGAGATCATATGCTATTCCGTCAACCTGGTTTAGACCAGTTCATGCCTCCCAAATAGCATCAAGACTACGGTCGTCGTCGCTAGTCTCTCGCCTACTACAATCAGCCATAATTCAAAGCTCCAAGCTTTGATACCAAATCTGATGTAGGTAATATGTACGTAGAAATAGGAGATAGCATAAACAAACATAAAAAAAGTGCAGGGAAACACCAAAGGTTGATACTAAAAGGTTGTATATTCTTTTATATGCCTCCGTTCTATCACAATAGTCATATATATTAGCTATCAACAACAACTTGTTGGAAAAGCTAATGCAAATGAAAAGATGGATCATATTAGAAAATAACAAAAAGAGTAACTGAGGTATTGAAGAATGTAACTAATAGTGCATAGAGAAAAATAAAAAGATGAGATACTCCCTCATGCATATGATATGATGCACCACATCACAAATCACAATAAAATTAAGTGATAAATTCAAAATACGTAAGGATTCCTTTGAGACAACTTTCTTATTGCCTTGTTCATATCTTCCAAATGTTTGTGCTGTTCTAATGTGGAGAATGTTAATCACATGTTTGTGAATGGTAATAAAGCTCATAAAGTGTGGAGTTATTTCAATGTTCTTGCCAAAAAAAAGTTTTGTTAACATTCATAATGATGTGTTATCTGTTTTAGAGAATTGGATGCATACTTCTAAAAGTCATATTTTTATTCTGATTTCTATTCTTATTTTTTGGTACATTTGAAAAGCTAGAAATGAGGTCAAGCATAATGACATCAAAATGGATGCTACTCAAATTATTTCGAATGTGAGACATAAAATTTTGCAATTTTATTCCTACAACCTTTTATATGTTAAGAACTTTCATAATTGTGTGGATTTGGATATTGCTTTTGGCATTCCCACGGTTTATGGGGCTATGAATTCGATTGAAAAGGTGGTTAAATGGATTAAACCCAAACCCCCTTATGTCAAGCTCAACTCTGATGGTTCTGTTGGGCCCAATTGGGCTATTGCTGGTGGTATTATCCGTGATCATTTGGGGTGTGTTATTGCAGCTTATGCGGGTCCTTTACAGTTGTCCAATGTTATTACGGCCGAGCTTCTGGGCTTGAATTATGGCCTGTAACTCTATATTAAATTGGGTATTGAGTGTGTGAATTGAGGTGGATGCGATGCTTTTAGTCAAGATTGTTACCAATGTGGTTCCTGGAAATCCTCAAAACTTTTATCTTATTAGAAAAATTAAGAATTCACTTTCTTCTGTTAATTATTCTATGTCGCACATTTATTGTGAAGCTAATGCGTGTGCAGATTGGTTAGCTAATAAGGGTTGTCATCTTGATAGTTATTTGGAGTTTGATATTAGGAATTTACATCCTATGTTGAAAGGTATGATTAATTTGGATAAAATTGGGTTGCCTTATATCCAGAATGATTGATCTTTTTGTTCATTTGCCTGGTTTGCCTCCCTTTGGTTTTCACTTTATCAGCTGCTTTACCTCTTCTTTCTATTGGTGGATCTTGTGGAAATTGATGGTTCAATGCTGATATTGTTGGAGTTGTTTGAACATGACCCTTTTTAATTATTGTTAGTGGATTTTCAGAGTTCTTTTGCATCCTATTTATTTTGCTCTATGGATGTGGTTTAACATTGGTGTGTCTGTGAACCTAGGGTACCTGGTTAGCAGGTTTGTTGTTGAACCATTTTTAGCTTGTTATGATGTTAGGTGGTTGTGGTTTTTTGGTCATAACTAGAAGTTTAAAGGTGATGTTGGTAGGGGTTTTGATCTTCAGTCTATTACCAAGCAGGTGCTTTGGCTGTGGTGCCTCCTGCTTAGCTATTTTCTCGGTTTCGCGTGTTTTGCTGTTAACCACCCTGATCATCTGGGTATTTTATTGGGTTAAAATTCTGGGAGAAAGCTATTCATTATTTTGGAAGTCCACGCTATCTTTGGCTCTAAGGCTACTGGCACTTGCTCGGTAATTTTGGTTTGCTTTTTTGATCATTCTCTGTAAATTCAGTAGTATGGCCTTATACCATATTTTTTATTGGTTTCACTTTAATTGCAAATTTACTCTCCTGTATTGTAGGCTTTTCTTTTGTAGGTTTGGTGGCTAGAATTTTGGGTCTTTGGCTGCCCATGGTGATTTTGCTAGTTATGGCTCGACCCATATATATTTTTTCCAGGAAGTTCGTGTTGAATGGTGATCTTTTGCTCTTCCTTTTTTGGGTGCTGTCACCTTGCAGCCCTAGATGTTTTTTAGGATTTTTTGTAACTATTAGTATAAGGAACCACCGGCTCTTAGGTTTTTTTTTGTTTTATTTTATAGCTCTGATGAGCATTAGTGAGCTGCGTGTTCCTTTTAAGGACCATGTAATATGTTTTTATATTAACACGTATGCTCCTCTGTGGGTTTCAACAACAAAAAATAAAAAATTATTGCAACTATAATTTCTATTTGATTATTATTTTTTCACCGCTTTTAAAAAAATTTTGTACTAAAAATTTATTTTTTACAATAAATTTAAAAAATTACTTTATCTATACTAGTTTTATAAAGCAATAATAAGTTGTTCCAAACAAAATCTAATATTTTTTGTGGCTTTAAAATTAATAAATCTTGGCACGAAATTAAAAAAAAAAAACATGCACACACAATTCAGTAATTACATTGCTTAAAAATAAATTAAACTTTATAGACCATCCTGAACATTCTCCAAAGCGTTTGCAAATCACAATAAAATTCGCAAATTAACTAATTAAAAAAGAAAATTTTTCTAAATAAAATCTTAGTGGAAAAAAGGATTATAAGCCTTCATAAAATATTTTTTTGGAGACATTTAAATGATAATAATGTTTAAAATAAGTTAATAAAAATTTTGTTTTATTTTGACCGTTTTATTCAACTCCCCATGCATAATTAATCCAACATCTAGCATAAGCAGCCACTAACAACTGCCGAGTACTGCCAACGCCTGATATGATCTCTATATAGCTTACAGGCTAAGAAAACACTAACACAAAAGCAAAAGTAATACCTCTCCTTCTTTTCCTTTCCTTCCCTCTTTCTCTCTCTTTCTCCCTCTCTCTGTCTTTGTGGATAGAGATGTGATTCTCCACCATCTTCATAACCCCATCAACCTTTTGAAGAAAAAAAAAATAGAAAAGAAGAAATATCTTAAGCCAATCCACTCGCCATGGTTTTCCCTTCCCTTCCTCTCTATCTCGATCCACCCAACAGCTGGAATCAGGTGATCACCTCTTGCATCCCTAACAAATTACTATAATCTAGCTTCTACTTCAAAAAAGCAACAAATTCCCAAAAAATATTCTTATTCATGAATATATATTATTCCTTATTTCTCATGCATATAGTTTCTGCAGATCTTTTGTCTCTTTATTAATAATTTGGTTTTGATAGCCGCCGCCAACTCATCAGCCAGTAGGCGCCGGCGCCACCACATCCGATGAACACCAACCACCGCCTCCGGCAGCTACAACCGGAGCAGGTACGAGCAGGCCCGGATCGATGGCTGAACGAGCAAGGCTAGCTAAAATTCCCCAACCAGAAGCCGCCCTCAGCTGCCCTCGTTGCGATTCAAACAACACAAAGTTCTGTTACTTCAACAACTACTCTCTTTCTCAGCCACGTCACTTCTGCAAGACCTGCCGCCGTTATTGGACACGTGGGGGCGCCCTCCGCAACGTTCCCGTCGGCGGAGGCTGCCGGCGCAACAAACGCGGCGGAAAGTCGTCATCTTTGACCTCGACGTCGACGCAACCAAAGCTCCAGCCGTCAAAATCGCCTACATCGACTACCGCTACATCTGCACCGCCAGCGAACTTGGTGCTTCTCTCAGCGGCGCCGCCTTTGTCCTTGTTGGCGGCGGCGCCTTGGAACCAGCTGCAAGAGTACGGGTATGCGGGGCAGGGTTTGGAGCAGTGGAGGTTGCCTTACTTGGGAGGAATGGAAGTGCCGGCGGCGGCAGGGATGCAGGTGCCTGCACCAGCTGCTGCGGCGGTGACGGCAGGGATGTACGGTTATCATGAAGGAGAATGGAGTGTTGGTGGAGGCATTAATGGAAATGTAGGAGGATGGATGAGCAACAGCATTACTGATCATCATGCATTAGGGTTTAGCGGCTCTTCATCAGCGGGAAATGGAAATCTTTGATTTATGAGTGATGATGGTGATAATTAATTAAGGTATATTAAATGATCTTATAAATTGGAAGCTTTATTTTAGTTATGGCTTCGAACAATTAAGAAATATTAAATGTAATTGTAGTAATTATCTCGATCTTATTCTTAGGTATTTTCAATAATATATAATTGCTGTCTATCTTATGCTATATATATAATCCATATATAGTATGTTTTATGTTTATAATTAAAATAGGACGAAGAATGCGTTGTTCAGTATTGGGATTAATGAACTTATAATGATCTATGATTTATAAGTATGATGTTTTGCTTCTTAAAAAAAAATTTAGCTTAAAAATTAATTTTTTACTAGAAAACTGCTTTAATTAAGAAGCAATAAAAAAGTTGTCTCAAACGAAGCCTTAGTTGATTTGAGATCTTGAGATATTCTTCAGCATTATTTAAATTCTGTGTTTCAGTCATCACCTTTCTCAAGCCCCCTCTTAAGTTTCAAAAATTTAAACATAATTATTTTATTTCTTGCACACGCACTCGCGCGCACACACTCTCTCTCATGTTTATATATATTATTGACCGTCAAATTTCTTTCAACATATTTAATAAAAGTAATTTGAAGAAGAGAGAGGTAATTATGCCTGACTGCATAATATAGATCAGTTATACCATTCATAATCCTCTCATTCATTTGAATAAGTTATACTGATCATCGATCTTTGAATCTATTAGAGAATTAATTGTCTCTCAAGAAATTGCAGATAAGTTTCCCGAAAAAAATATATTTTTTGCTGTTCCTATACATTACTCTTTCTTCTCTGCATTGTGATTTTACGTCTTAATTAACTCTTTCTTGGGAGATAGATTTTTTGTTTGGGAAGGTTTTTTTCTTGCTTTTTAAAATGACTTTTTAGTACAAAATTTCTTGAATTTGAATTTCATGAAATAAAAAATTGTTTTAAAAAATGATACGAAAACTGTCCAAAATGAAACCAGAATCTCATTCCTCTCACCATACCTCAGAAATATCTTTTGATTACTTTATGTACAATACTTTGCATATTCACCCTTATGTTGTGTGATCAAATTACATGTATTAATTTCTTTGTAATTAATCAAATCTTCTATGTTTACCAAAAAAATAAAAAAATACTTATGATTTTGTCGATCCATTTTCAAAATAATTTAGTGTGGCCTTTTATTCTTCAAATATTTTTTTCTAGATTAAAATGGCATAGAATTTGAATTTCATGAAATAATTTTTTTTTTTATTTTTAAAAATGATACGAAAACTGTCCCAAATGAAGCCATAATCTCATTCCTCTCACCATACCTAAATATCTTTTGATTACTTTATGTACAATACTTTGCATATTCACCCTTATGTTGTGTGATCAAATTACATGTATTAATTTCTTTGTAATTAATCAAATCTTCTATGTTTACCAAAAAAATAAAAAAATACTTATGATTTTGTCGATCCATTTTCAAAATAATTTAGTGTGGCCCTTTATTCTTCAAATATTTTTTTCTAGATTAAAATGGCATATGTATGTACTTATGAAGCTCTAAGTATAATACTTCTATCATTATCTCCTATGTATGGCATTTTTATGAGGGCTCTTCTTGTAACTCATCCTATCCTATAAGAATCTATAAATATTTAAATGATCAATTGCTAAAATGAAGAATCAATCAATATGTATCAATTTAATTTTAGGAGCCCAAATATGAATTTACAATTAATATCATCATTAAAATAGTAAAACACCTTCTCGGATTCTATATTAGTATTGTTGTTAACTTTCCCACATAAAATACCACACAACTTTCACTAGAATTGTGATATTTTTCCCTTTCTATTTACATACATGTAATGCTTATGCATTTTTCTTTTCATTATTGGTCACTTAATTCCCTAGCCTTTCATGTCAAAGCCCCCACCCACACAAATTTTATATATAGAAAGTCCAATCTTGGTTTTAGGCCAGCAAATCTATGTACATCATTTATAGCTAGCTAAGATTCTAGCCATGTTTACCTACCTATTTCTCATCCAATTTGAATTAAGATAATAAGTTATAATTAAGGATGACTCTAAATCATAACCTTAATAAGTCAATTTGTTTGTCTTGAATCATTTTAAGCGATAAATCTAACGCTAATTAATAGGCATCAAATTAAGATTAAGCTAATTTATTTTGGATTATTTTATTGTTGGAGTTGCTTCAAATTTGGCCAAATTCTTGTTTGTTCATGTCCTTGATGGTCATACGCTTTGCAGATATGTCGGGGGTCTGAGGGTTAGCTGGGTCAAGGGGTAGCGTCCTGGGAGGGTTTTAAGGAGCAACACCCCTTAAACAAATTTTGGTTGTAAGGGTAATTTTGAAATTCCGTTTGTTTTTTCTGCTATCCTAATTTTGTCCTATAAATATGTTGAAGGCTTAAGGTTTTAGAAGCCATTTGTATTCCTCTTTTTTTTTTTTCTGATACTGAAGCCGCCCTCCCTTCTCCCCTGTGGGTTTTCCCAGATTTAGATTTTTCATGTACTTAAAGCCTTTGTGTTTCTTTATGTTTTGAAAAAATCGCAATTTATTATTTATGTTTGTGTTTAGTTCATCATTCCCTAACAATTATAATTTGATCATTAAGCTAATGCTAAACTTAAAGTTTTCTCATTCAAGTTTAAAAATGATGATAATGATTTTAAAAATAGGTGCAAGAATGGTATTCTTACCCATGAATTTGGTGATCAATGTGCCTAATACCATATAGCTTTAACAAACTCTTAACATGTTTATATTCCACCTTCATGATTTTAAATTAATGAGAAATAAGCATATTTAAATTAATATATTTTCTTACAATTTTTATTGAAGTATGTAGGAAAAATGTGTGATGTTATTTAAATTAATAACATGATTAAACTCGTTCTCGTTAATGAGTCGAGCTCAAAATTTTGCTCGAACTCGACTCGTGAGCTCGATAAGCTCGGCTCACGAGCCTGGTCATCTCACTTACACCCTTAGGTCGTACATCTTGGGTATAGCTGCTAATTTGGTTCCTAGCTCTCGGTTGATGGGAGTTTTGGGTGATCAATATGCATCTACTATTTCTCTTTTTTGCAAGATGATTGCGCCGAACTCTTCTTTGGAAATCCTCTTTTTTTTTAGATTGGCGCTTGGCCACCCTTAGATTTTTCATAGGTTTCTTCTCCTTTTTGCAATTAGTGGGGTTCTTTGGCTTATAGGTTTTTTGTTTTCACTTTTGATGTAGCTCTTTGGAGCATAGCTTGCTATCCATCCCCTTTAAAAAATTGTAATTTATTTTTTATCAACATGCATGTTTCTCTGTGAATTTTCTCTAAAAAAAATAATAATTAAAAAAAAAACTTTTACTGTTTCTGAAATTTATAACACTAGCGTTATAAGTTATATTATTTTGATTGATTAATTTGTCTGAAATTTTTTTGACAGAAAGTATTATTTTATGAAATAAAAAAAGGAAAATAAGTACGTCAAAAGTATTATGCTGACAGTCAAAACAAGCATGATGTGCTTTCTTAATTAGTTTAGGGTTTGCTTAACGGAATTTATTTTTAGGTCTCAATCGGTTGCTTCAAATTTTAATATTGTTTTTAAATTTTCATTAACTTTTGAATGAGAAAAATAAAATTATCATTTTTATCATAATTTTGATCAGAAACTTTATGATATATGAAATCAACGTTAGTTCCTAATTACTATCAAACAGATAATATATTTGATTAATTTCATTATTTTTCAAAATATCTTTTCTAATTTTCAAACAATAAAATGAGTTCTTATGGAAATTGTAAAAAGAATTGAGAATATTTTTTTTTTTTTGGGAAATAATTGAGAATATTATAAGTAGTCAAAAAGTTATTGCAGTCGAAGCAATGCACGTCTTCTCCACGACCATTAAAATTTAATGAAGGATTGCTGCACCCAAATTACATACTAAAAGAATTTGATTTGCTGACAACTTTTTCCCCATCCGTACCATCGTAATTTTCAATTCCTCTTTACTTTTCCATAATTTTTTCGTTAGCAATTCCTGTATTGGATGCTTGAAAAGTAGTTAATATTTAAGATGAATTAAATAGAAATATGTGAAGATGAGTAAGGAGCATTGAGCCTCTGCAACTGGGAGGAGTAGAAATCTAACTGTATGAATAGTATTTTATATGTATTAAGCAGGTTTTTTTTTTATTGGAAAAATTCATAGAAGGACCTACGTGTTAATATAAAAATAAGATTACAAGGTTCTTAATTAAAAGAAACCTTCAGCCCACTAATGCTCAACATAGATACAAAATAAATCAAAAGAAAACCTAAGAATCGATGATTCCTTTTACCAAGAAATACAAAAACCCTAAAAATATTATAGGGTTGCAAGTAGCTAGTCAGCACCAAAACAAGGAAGAACATGAATAAACCATTCTGCTCCAACTTCTTGCAAAAAAAGTGTAGGCTAACCCACACTTATAAAAAATCCCTGAACGCACAATCTTCCTGCAAAAAAGGGAATCACACTCGTCCAACCTCCAAATATGCAAAATGAAGAAGCTTCAACACAAGGGGGTACGTAAAATCACAAGCAAGTTGGAAACAGCAATGAAAAAGAAATAAAAGTAAACAGTTGTGTTTAACATAAATAGATAAGGTAGCAAAAACTATATCGCCGGCATACTTTCAGAACCAATGTAGGCGAATACAACAGCTTATGACTAACAAAACCAGTAAAAAAAACATAAAAATAATACATATTTTTCAAAGATGATGAATCAGAATAGTTATCGGACATATACCATGAAACAGCTTACTCAAACCAAGTGCCCCAAAATCGAAAATAGTTTCAATAAGGATCATCACGTACAACAACTGGGGGCATAAAATACATGCCAACAAAAGTCTTAGAAGGGCAACAGCCAACCCAAAAAATCACCAGCAACATATCCAAATAACAGTTAACACCACAGCCCACCGAACAGAAATATAGTATATTAAAGGGATGAGAGTCCCACCACCTCCAGCAAATAACACCACTCCACAACATCCTCCAATCCACCTCCTCCAAACAGAGCAGATAACACCCATAACATAAAACGAATAGGCAAAATAGAGAAACAGAAACCCAACAAGTAGCAACGAGCAGAAAATAGAGAAACAAC